GTAAAAATTAACTAAGGGGCTAATTTGCATACTTGGTTGAGTTAGTGGCTTCTACTATATGAAATTAATTTAGAGGCTTATACATTAATATGAAGTAAGTTTAAGCGCTTAACAAAGAATTAAGGGCTAAATTGCGTAGATTTGTAGAGTTCAAGGGGTCATATGTATCAATTAAAGTCTCGGGGCTTAATAGCAAATCTGACGTTAATTAGTTCAGGGGCTTCCATATGGTTTTGCCTTTTTTAATTTAAAATTTATTTCAGGTTTTAAGGAACGCAAATAGTTTTTTCTTATGATGATTTCTTAACTTTAATTATTAAAATAATATTTTATTTTGATTTTTTTAAAATAAATTAAATTAAAATAAAACTTATCACTAAATTTTTAATCTAAAAATAACATAATTTTCAGATAAAAAGAATAAATAACAATTTGACCGGCTGTGCTCAACTTCTTTCTTTTATTTATATGTTTAGTATTATACTAAATGAGGAAGAAAATGTTTCCAGTTAATCATGAATTGAGATTAATTTATCCAAGGATAAGCATGATTAAGGTTCAAATAAAAAATTTGACAAGGACAAGGATTAGATATTGACCTGCAAAAAGAGGTCAGAGAGGCGGTTTGTGGGCCCAGGTAGCTGCTACGACCTATGCAAATAGAACTCTCTTTATTTGGGCTTTCCATCTATCGATAGGGACTTAAAGTTTATGGACTGTGTCTTGGGCCAATGTAGTGGACCCACTTTCTGTACACCGACCTGGACAATTTCCCCCGTATTCTTCCAATTTTTCGTTTTCTCAACGTTCCTTTTTTTTTTCTTTTTTCTTTTTTTAATTACTAATCGTTATTGGGTTGTGTCGCCATTAAGGTCACTAATAGTATTTTTTTTTAATAAAAAATTTTAAATTTGAATAGCATGTTATATGAGTAAAGCAAATTAACTAATAAAAAATAATTATTTTTTATCAAACTTAAAGTTAAAAGGTATGTATTGACTTGGCTTAGGTCCATAGTACAATTATTTTTTATTTCTTCTCTCTATTTTTTCTTTTAATTCCTGTTTGTATTTTTATTTGACTATTGCAGTGTTATGGACGTTATTCTCACATCAACATTGATATGGTGACATTTTAACGCATATGTGACAATTCGACTTGAATTTCCCTCAAATTGACATGGCTATCATTATTTTTGTTTTTCTTAGCAAGAGTAGTTTACAATTATTAGGAGAATCGAACTCAACTTATGTGTTAAGAGAGATGCATATTGACATTAGTTAAATATCTATTTTACATGTGATTACTTCTCATTGGCTTGATCGATTAGTCTAAAAGTAGAGCTTATCCTAGTTGAAAGACCCTCAAGCCTAGATGAGTTGAACTCTCCTTAGAATACCTGGATGAGCTATTTCTTGACTTGGCTTGCAAGTTCCTAGTTAAAGAGCTTCTCAAGTGAAGCCTTTGCAGTTGGTTCACTATATGGTTGAGATAGGCAACTATGACCCAAAGTTGGTGGCCAAGGCTAGGGCATGGATAAAGGATAAAGGGCAATAGGCCTTAATCCGCATCAGTTTGCACATACTCAAAGATGCAACCCATGTTTGTGTTAGCCGTGCCAAAGGATGTTGGGCTAATTTCCTTTTCTCCCACATTCATGTTTCTTAGTTGTAGAGCTGTCACACCTACTACTTGTACTAACCATGCAAGTATATAGAACCGACCATATATGAGATTAGGCAGGTTCACTTACTATAAGACAAACCCGAGGGGGATTATAAAAAAGCTCCTCCACCTTATTCAAAAGTACATTCTCTTAAGTGAAAAAATCAATCATTTTTCTTTCACTCATCTCCTCACTTCATTATAAGCCCATTTAACTAATCAGAGGGTGTATGCCAAAGATGCCTCTGGCGCTCACCCTAACAATTTCTTCCTTTTTTCTAGCATGCAAGTTTCTTAGTTTCTGTCTAGGTCATTTCTGAACACTGCTTTGATTTTTTTAGTATTAAAAGTTAGGGTATTCTCAGGTTCATTTTTGTGCATTTTGAGATTAATCCTTCATTGGGCTAGTTTTTAAATGGACTTATCTTTCTTAAGGGCACACTAGTACCCCCACATTGGACTTTCTACTGTCAAAGAAATTAATTTCCTCAGTATTGATCCAAAGATTTGAACCATGTATCTAATCTACAAAAAAACATTTATTTACCAATAGATCCAACCCTTGAATTTGAACACTGCTTTGATTTTGATGTATAGAGAGTGAAGAATTTGGTTGGGTAGTAAGTAATACTTGTGATTGCATGGTAACTTAACTATTTACAGTAATTAATTACTTTACTTCTTATTAAAAAAAATATGGTTAAACAACATAAATTTGGCTCAATTGGTTCCCATTGATATAAAGATCTTGATTTGAAGTTAAAGTTATGGATTCAAATCCTTACAATTACAATTACAATATTAGGAATAAAATTGATTAATGAAAGTTTATGTTTCTATTAAAATTTGTTTTCACCTAACTTGATGTGGATGGTAGCTGAAATATATTGCACAAAGTACTAGATGTATTTGACTTCTTTGGTCTTTTGCCGGGTGGTTGAGATAAGTTTTCAAAGATTTGTCAACTTAAGCAATCATCTTAGGCTAAGACCTAGCCAAACAAATAAAATTCTAATAATGGTTTCTTTAACATACTCAATACTTCTTCCCCAATAGCTTGGCAAATCCCTTAATCCATTTATATGTCCAATCCTGTTCCAAGCATCCTTTCTTCATTTTCGATTTGTTATTTTCTTCATTTCCAATTAATTACTCCTATTCTAATGATAACATTAATATTAAGGCAAAAGTGCAGATTCTCTCTAAAATTGTACATTAAAGCAAATCACCATTTAAAAAAAAATTTAATGTAATTTGTCATCTCAAATTTCTATTTTTAAGAAATTGACTCAAATTTAATGATTATTGTTAACTTTCTATTAAATTTCAAAAGTAGTAGTTTATTGGCAATTGTTAAATTTGAGTTGATTTCTTGAAAATGAAAATTTGAGATGGCAATTTGCGTTAACAATTTTTTTGGTAGTGAATTGTTTCAATGCAACAATTTTGAGAGCAATTTATATATTTGAAGAATGTTTCTAATGTATTATCAGTCCAAACATTGATCGGTTAAGTTAATCATCATTAAACAATAGAAAATTCCCACCCTGTTTTTTCTTTATTTTTGAATTTTTGGTGAAATTTGTTCAAAGTTATAACTTGATCGACTAGATCTAGTGTAATTTGGTTGAAAGGGGCTTTAATTAACCACTCACCTAACTCAAAACTTTTATTCAGCAATACTTTGATGCCTCTTGATATCTATCCTTTGTTCTTTCTTTTAATTTATGACATTTTTACACATCAATGTCATGGGATAGAGAGACTTAAAACTTGAAATTGTTTCAGAGTTCAATCTATCATTTTTATCACGGGAATAAAGTTCTCATTGACTTTAAATCTTTAATTAGACCTTTCGATGGTGAACAACATGAAAAAGTCATGTTGAAGACAAATGTGAGCCCACAAGGACAAACATCTCAGTGTAGGGTTTCTATGTTGCATAATTATTTAGGCATGGACATGTGAAATCTTAAAGCTTCTCTATGAAAAAGTATTGCTTACACCGTAAGTTTCAACATCTTGTGGATTGTAATTATGAATATTGATAAATTTAATTCTTAATAGCAGCAATAATAACCACATTAATCCACGTATTGTGCCCTAAATTTTAAATTTAAAGAACATTTTTAGTAGGTCGAGGTATACAATAACAACAAATTAATTGTCCTATATTTTAAATCCCCTCAATCGTTTCCAAATTCAAACATCTACATACCAAGTTTTTATTCATTATTAAGATATCTTAGTAAATTTACAATCATAATGTTTTGTTATATGATTCACTATTTTTATTTTGGACTTATCTATGAATTGATATATATTCACTTGTTTAATACAATATTATTTTTATTAATTTACAATTCTACATGGTGTAAATTTATCATTTTTGATGAACTAAATGGATAGTTGCATCTTTCATAGTGCTTATAATTTCTTTAAAAACATATTTGAGTTGAGAAAAATACAAAAGAGGAGAGAGAACTATGGCTATTAATGAATTGAATCAGATCAAATACTGACTACTTACACTCAAATTCATCTTAAATATTTAAATTTGAGTTTACCTCGAATATTTGTACTTGAACTTGAATAGTATCAAGCTCAAAATGCTTGAGCTTGAGTTCTAGCTTTAGAGTATTTGAGTAAGTTCAAGTTCGCTTCTAAACTTGAGCATGAACAAATACCAAGCACTACTGATGCGTTATACATAATTTTAATTTCTTTTTAATTCATGAGTTATATTAAGCAATAAATTCCAAAATGTTATAGTTTTATGCTCTATTTAATATATTCATTTGCATTTTATTTAAAAAATACTATAATTGTGAACGACAGACATTCTTCTAATTATCTTAAATTTTAACAAAGAAAAGTTTTAAATTTTATGTTATTCAATTTATTTTTAATTATTAATAACATTATTTGGATATATTTTATACTATTATTAGATTTTAAACACATGCCTTATCTATACATTACCTATGCATTTAAATAGTTCCAAGTTGTACTAAGCATTATACTTGAACTCTTTACCTATGCATTATTTTTTTTAATTAAAATTCGACTTATTTACCAACTAATTTATCTCAAATAGCTCGCGATTTACTCTCAATCCCTCAATTCCTCAATTCCTTAATCCCTCAATCCCTTCCAAACCAAACGGGCTCTTAAGTTTTTTTTTCTCGCTCTAATTAGTGGGCTGCAATGGACCTAGAAAATACAAGCCCATAGAAAACTCAAGCCCAGTTATACTGACTACTGAAATTAAAATCGTGTGCAAAAAATGTAAGCCCATATCCAGTTTCTTGGTCGTCTTCTTCCTCCGTTTTCTGAAAACAGGAAGGTTTGAACCCTAGCTTTGTAGTTCTGTTCTCTCTCAAAACCTCCCTTAAACCCTCCCTTTTGAATTCCCAAATATATACGCAAAAGCAGAAGCAATTGAGGATGGCAGTACTTCAAGCGAGGAAATTTCTGGCACGAAGCTTTTCAAATCTTTCCGCTCATCCTTTACGTGTCTGTATCGTTGGAAGCGGACCTGCTGGCTTCTACACCGCCGAGAAGGTATAATTTTCTTAAGAACTTCCATTGATGTAGACTGAAGTTAGCATAGTTGATTTTGTTTGAATTTGATCCCCAGATGTTGAAGAAGCATCAACGGTCGGAAGTGGATATCATCGATCGGTTGCCGACTCCATTTGGATTAGTACGCTCCGGCGTTGCACCTGATCATCCCGAAACAAAGGTTCATTTTTAGTAGAACCTCTTTATTTTCAATATTTGCGATATTCTGTAATCGGTTAACCGTAAAGTTTGCAACTTGCAACAGATTGTGACCAATCAGTTCTCTCGGGTGGCACAAAATGAGCGTTGCTCGTTCTTTGGGAATGTTAATCTTGGAACTTCAGTTTCACTCTCAGAGCTTCGTGAACTTTACCATATAGTGAGAAGTTATTATTTGTTTCTATCTATTTATGTTTTGTATGCAGGAGTAGTTTCATGAATGTTGAATGAAATTGAGCAGGTTGTGCTTGCTTATGGTGCTGAAAGCGACAGAGTTCTTGGTATCCCGGGAGAAGTATGTTCAATGAAATTAGAGTTCTCTTGGAATTTTTGCTAATGTATGGATGCTTGATTGATTCATAAATGTCAATGATTTAATCACTTTTATCTTCCTGTATGTAATGTTGCGAATGATGTTGATATTTTTTTCCTAATGGATTTTCAATTTGTATGTCTAATATTAGGATCTAAAAGGGGTACACTCAGCTAGAGAATTTGTTTGGTGGTATAATGGGCATCCTGATGGCATAAACTTGGATCCTGACTTGCAGAGTACTGATACAGCTGTCATTCTTGGTCAGGTACTTTTTAGGATTCATGGTTTATCTCACAGAATAGAGCATTGTATCCATTGAATTGATCCTGAGAATTGGGGAAAGATTTGCATGGGCACTTGTTAACATAAGGGTTAATGTTGTTGCAAATTATAGTTGCTCGCCTTGCAGAATTTAAGCCTTTAGTTAATGATTACACGAAATGAGATTTATGCAATCATATTCATTTAGGCCTCTCTCTCAGCATGAATCTCTGATAGGCTGATAACTGCAATAATGATTTGTGTTAATGTCTCAGGGAAATGTAGCTCTTGATGTTGCTCGTATCCTCCTTCGACCGACTTCTGAATTGGCAACAACAGATATTGCAAGCCATGCTTTGACTGCTTTGGAACAGAGCTCTATAAGGTTCCTGATCCTATTATTTCAAAGCAACCTGATAAATTTATTGCCTGTTTATATGGCCTTTGGTCTCTAATAATATTGAATATTTATCACAGAAAAGTGTATCTAGTTGGAAGACGAGGACCAGTTCAAGCAGCTTGTACTGCAAAAGAACTCCGTGAAGTTCTTGGTAATTCCTAAGATCTAGTTAAGTAGAGCTCTGATTTGCTTTTACATCTTCAAATGCATTCTTTGCTGAATGGTGTGATATGTTTGAATAAAGACTGCATTTAACCATTTTGCCTGATCATAAGATGCTATCAGTGATTAACAAATGGAAAAATTTTAGGTCACCTAGAAATATTTGAATTTATGCTGGTTAATTGGCTAACTTGTTTATTCATTTGATTCTTTTATGCATTTTATTTTTTTCTTTTAGGGATAAGGGAAAAAGCAGTTAACCAGAACATCATTTGAAAGTGTTTATCAAATTGTAGCATAGATGATTATACCGGCTGGGATAATTTATGATTCATCTTTTGGAGTTTAGTACTTCTGATTGTTTGCTTTGATTTATATTTTATCTTCTGTCATAGGCCTTTGGATTGTCTAGCCACTTCCAAATAGTATTTTTTCTGGAATGCAAATTTATCAATTTCTTTGTCGGTAGGGAAGTATTGATATCTTTTTACAGGTATTAAAAATTTAAGCATTCATATAAAGGAGGCTGATTTGAAGACAACTCCAGCTGATGAGGTATATCTCAATTTCTTATCTCTGCCGATTCTCACAATTAATGCTTCTGTCTTGCTTGTAATGGAAGGATTGACTGTCTGCATAATGTTACTGTTAAGTCCTTGTTATCTTTGTGATAGGTGACAAATAAAATGATAATTCTCCATCACCCTTCTCTCTTTACAAGTCCAGCTACTGGTTGTTTCCATTGACGTTCTTTTTTCATGTCATTTTTTGGCAAAGGAAGAAATGAAAAGCAATCGAATTCATAGGAGGATTTATGAGTTGCTCTCTAAAGCAGCCATTTCAGGATCTGCCCAACCTAGTTCAGGTCAACAAGAACTTCACTTTGTTTTCTTCCGTCAACCTGATAAATTTCTGGAATCAGATAACAGAAGGGGACATGTGTCTGGGGTGCAACTTGAGCAGACAGTTCTTAAAGGTAGCTATCTAAGTGTCTGCATTTCCTTGGCCTTTGTGTTAGTTTAGTTTGCTTATTTCTCCTCTACGGTTGACTTGCAGATCATCACAACCCTACAATTTTTAAACTAAACCGGTAAACTTCATTTTGTACCTGATTTGGTACACATCTGATAAAGTCATCAAAATCATAGTGACATTTGTGGGAAGGTCTTGTGTTTTAATTCAAAAGTGAGCTTTGGATTATATTAGTATTATGAGTGGGCTTGCTCTATCAACTAAAGGAAAAGGTTATTTCTGAGGAACTTTCTAATGCAAGCCCATTTTAGGCTTTTGTCTAAAATATCACAGTTAAATTTCTAACATAAAGAGCCACTAAGATTTTAACATGTAAGCAAATAATAGTTAGTTGGCGTCCTTTGCTAATGACAAAGACCCCCATGATTGGTAGACATCCCAACTGCTGATAATGAGTCAAATTGTCATATCTGATGTGGTGTCACTGTCATATGGAAAATGCTTTCCCATTTACAGTTTTCTTAATCTGTCCTTTTGAATTTGTAGGTGTTGGTCCTGGAAGACAGATTGCAGTTGGCACTGGACAGTTTGAAGATATAGACTGTGGGTAATTTCTTCTTTTCTTTTCCTGCCAGTGCATCAAGCAATCACCTAATAACGTCTTGACACTTTTATTGCTGTGTATATAATCCTGGTTGTAGCTAGCTATGCCTAAAACTTTAATCTGTTCAACTTTGTGCCGTACAGCACCAAAATGGAGCTAATGTGATTACTTGACCAAAACATTTTGAAATTCACTCTATTGCCATGATGTATATACTCCAACAAAATTTAGTAACCTACATGCATTCTTCTTGCAGGGTTGTGCTAAAGAGCATTGGTTATAAATCAGTACCAGTTGATGGTTTACTGTTTGATAATCAAAAAGGTAAAACAAAGGGTGTGGAGAACTAAGAATCTGTCATCTTTAACCCATTTCAAAAACCCTTGAACATGTCTTCTTTTTTTTTTTTTTTTGGGCCATTGGACTTCCCTTTTTTTTATCAGTTGATCAAATTTTTATTACAGGAAGATCATACTAGATACATTAAGTTGGGTCATTTCATACCATTTCATGCTTATTGTTAGCCAATCAATTCACCTCTTAAAAGGCTGACAATTTTATAATATTAAGTATATCCACCAGCTACTGTTCCTTCAAAATTATTCGACTAATTATTCAATCAGACATGTTTCTGAAATCTGATGAAAAAAATTAAGACTAGATCAGACAAACTACATTACAAGTTACCTTTTACTGGCATTTTCAAAAGTTTTCTGTTGGAATCAGTGGTGAACTAGGTAGATCACATGCGGTTATACTCGCCTATCTTCTTCTTTCTAGCCCTAGAAGCCATGAATTGATTTTGTTTCTTGGTTTCTTCTATATATACTGACTAAATGCAAGTAGTCTACAATGCTAAAATATTATAGTATCAGAAGAGATGCTTACTACCTCGTCCACTTGATGCCTCTAGGTGTGGTTCCAAATATCCAAGGTCGAGTTCTAAGTGACACTTCTGGAGATCCTGCACTGCTTGAGAATGGTCTTTATGTATGTGGATGGTTGAAGAGAGGACCAACTGGGATTATTGGTACAAACCTTTATTGTGCTGAAGAAACAGTAAGTTGACCCATGCTGTGTAAACCAAATTGTTTGCTTTTAAGAGACTAAGACCATCTCTTGTTTCTGTGTTGCTAGGAGCATGATCCTTGATTTTACAGAAAAACTACAATGAAATAGATTTAAATTTTATTGCTGGTTTTTGAAATTTACATTTTGTCACTAATTTTGCTAATTGGATTGCTTGCATGCTAGGTTTTGAGCATATCTGAAGATCTTGAACGAGGAGAGTTGGCATCGACAGCTACCTCACCAAAGCCTGGCAGAGAAGGACTCCTTGAGTTGTTGAACAATAGAAATGTGAGAGTTGTACCGTTCAGTGATTGGGAAAAGATTGACACTGAAGAGAAGAGACTTGGAAGTTTGAGAAACAAACCAAGAGAAAAATTAACCACGTGGGAGGAACTGCTGAAAGCTGCAATGGCGTGATTTTTTTTTTGCAGGCACTGCTTTTTAATGCTGCAACCAGTCAAAATTGTTCACTCTTGACCTAAGAGAAAATAACAAAGAAGAAAAAAAAAGGCTTTTTAGAATTATTATGGAAAGGCTTTTCAGAATTATTATGGAAAAACCCCTCAAGTTATGGAAATTTATTTTGGTGAATAAACCTGATTATAGCATTATTCATCATTCCTGGAATCAAATATGATGTTGGGAGTTGGTTTCATTTGTCTTAAGGTTGTTTCATTTTGAATGGAATGATGGTATATTTTTTTTTTTTTTCATTTATATTGAGAGATAGAACCTGGTTATATGCTTTTATAATTTGTGTTTAGTACATTAAATGAGTTACATACCAGGGATGGTCCAAAATTTTCCAAATCTGCTACTAGATTAGAACTTTGATTTTTCTAATTTAAAATTCCATACTCTTTCTTTATTGAACACACCTATGGGGCATATGCTTGCATTAGTGTGGTACTCTACCAGGAAAGTTTGATAGGATTGAAAATATAAATTTGCATATTTAAAATACATAATAAAAGGACTTAAATAGAAGTAATAAATCATATTAACTATTTGTTGGTTTAAGTGGAAGGAACTTGATTTCTTTTAAGTAAAATTTCGAATTCGAATCTTGTGAATGAAAAAACTAATGCTGGGAGAGCTTCTCCTCATATGGGGTTTGAGTTTACTCAATTTTGGATTAATCAGGATTTAATATGACTTTTGAATACTGAGAGGTTAGTATCAAAAAATAAATATATATGTACAAGTAATAAATCATCTCTTTATATATATATGTAAGTATTAGATATTACACAAATACAATTTTAAGTGTGCATGTAACTTGTGTTTGAATGGGCTAGTTTTAAAAAGCCTCACAAAGTCAAGATCTCTCACACCTCTTGAGGAGTGTTAGCACCTCTTAATGTGATAGGATACTAATTGTAATATCTTAAATTTTCTTGGTTTTAACCAATCAAATTAAGAATCACGTGAGCAATTTTAATATCAGTTATAACATTTTGCATCAAAGCACTCAAATACTACTAGTAATTGTCCACTTTGGCTTGCGGAGAAGGCCCTCATGGTTTTAAAAAACCTTATTAGGGTGATGGTGGGTTCATATTATAAAGCCTCTCACATGTCCGGCCTATGTGGGATTGCCTCAAAGCATTTGGTGTGAACACCTCTAAAGGGGTGTTAGCACCTCTTTATTTGATGAGTTGTCACAACACAACACAACTCCAACATTAGTTTAATGTATTTAAAAAAAAATTAATTTTCTTAGATATTGATATTAGTGGATTTGCTACCAAGGGTAAATCTAGAAGATCCAATGGAGCTCTAAGCACTTGGGGGATTTATGTACAAGGTAAAGGAAGAACTCTATGTCTTTAGATGCTTAAGTCATATCAGATTATGGAACCATGGAAGGAAAGATGAAAAGAAGAGGGGTTTATTTTTTTCAATGTGTATGTATCGTGGGATGAGGTGGAGGAGCCCTTTTAATGATTCCTTTTAGATATGTCTTGTAGTAGATGGGCTTACCAAATCTAGTATGTTATAGGTTCCATACCTGTAAGGTTAATATAGGTAGTAGGTGCAGCAATCTATACATATGTGACAGCACAAAGTGGGACTCACTATCCTTTTATCTCTTGTTCATGCCCTAGTCTTGGCCACTAAGTTTGTTTCATAGTTTACTAGCTACTCATATTCAACATGAGGAGCTCTTTTTAACTTATAACCTATAAGCTAAATTAAGAAACAACTCTTCCATATATTCTAGCGAAAGCTCAATTTGGGCATGTTTAAGGGATCATCTAGTTAGGATCAACTAATTTGCAAGATTAGATTAACCAATAAGAGGTTGTTATGTGTAAAGTAGGTATTTAGTTAATATCAATCGCACATAACTTAAATTTTGTATTTAGTTTATAAAATAACACTTACATAGTAATAAATCTAACTATATGAGTTAAAAGCAAACATATTATTAGTTTAGTAATAACTTACAAGAACAAAAAGTGGGAGAAGTACAAAACAAATTCACTTGAAAATACAACAAAGTATTAGTCAAAGTTGCTAATTCATCACCTTGCCTTATCAAATTTCAATCATACTTTAAAATTAAAAAAGAAAAATTTGCTGTCATTTGTAGTTTTTGGGGGTGAATTTGATCCTATAGTTATTTGTAACTTTAAGAACGAATTTGCTAGTATTTGGCAAAAAAAAAAAAAGAAAAAGAAAAAAGGTTAGGGTTTGGAGTTTTGTTTTCTGTTTTTGGTTTTTTATTATTTTTTTTTTTATAATAACGGGGCAGTGGGGCACAGGCGACGGCGCGGGTTTGGTTTATGCTTTTGCCCTCGAGTGCGGTTGGTCGGAGGATTCTCGTCTTCCGGTGGAAAAGATGAAGCTGAAGCAACTGGAAAGCTTCTTAGGTGATCTTCAACAGTTCTCGAACCCAAAGGTCTCTCCTTTATCCTCCTTTTTCTTCTCTCGTTTTGTTTCGTTTCGTTTCCCACAGAGGAATAGCTCGGAAGTACTTGCTGAATTGAGTTGCTTGCTGTTTGTTTGCGTAATAGTGCAGGTGGAATTGGAGCAGTACCCAACTGGACCTCACATTGCTTCTCGCATGATCTATACTGTATGCAACTCTCACTCTTCTCCTTTCCTTCTTGTGCAAAAATTTCAATGGCTTGACTTTATCAAGTTGTTGTTGTTCTCCCTTAGCTATAATTTTTACCTTCTTTCAATTTCATTCCTCAATTCATTATCTGGGTTCTGCTCATATTTGAATTAATATTAAGAAATGAGAAGCCGCTCGAGTTTCTTGTGATGGCATGTAGGTTGATAGAGAATTAAAGAAAATCATTGGTATTGGTTACCAGATTTTCTGTGCTGTTTCTGTTTGCAATGGCTAAGTGGGTACTCTGTTTTGCGATTCCAATTCATTAGGCCGAGAATTCTTTTGATGATATCGGCAACAAAATAGTGGTGGATTTTGGCTGTGGATGTGGTACATTGGGTGCTGCAGCTGCTCTCTTGGATGCAGGGTAAGTTCCCATTTTGCCTTTTCTCTTCCTAGGAGATTCTTGTTTTGAGTTATTTTCCTTTGTGGTTTAGCCAGTAAAGCTGCTCAGCTCTCTCAACTGCCTGGGATTATCTCCAACTCCATTTCCTTGTTGGCTTGTTTTAGATTCTTTGATTAGAGCTAAATTCATGAAAAGCTAT